TCCTCTTCCTCTTCGACCTATTCCTTCATTTCTCTGTGGATCCATTGTTCCAAAACTCAGTGAACTGATTCGGGCCGTTTTATTTATTTAATCTAATTTCTAATTGATGTGTGTTCAATTTTGACTCTTAGTGTTTCCACCTGGGTAATTGTTTGCTATGAAGCTGTTTTGACTCTTAGTGTTTCCACCTGGGTAATTGTTTGCTAATTGAGCTGAAGCTGTTCTGACTTGAGTGAACAGTATTGAATGCAAGTGCTTTCTAAATGACCACATGTAACAGTTCACCAAATCTGACTCATGTGTTAAAACAGGGGAATAGTGTTTATAGTTCAGCGCAAAATGGGTGTTTTTTGAAAAATGGCATTATGGTTTTGAAATTTTAGTTCAAAAGCCTGATTATAGTGTTTTAGCAATCGAGAAAAACTGTAAACACTGTTTTTCAATCGGATTAATAAAGCATTTACAATATCAATATGAACACCTAGCAGCAGTGGATGTCCCAATGTGGTCAATGTGTGCCGTAATATACTCTGACGGCAGGCAGTTACATAAACCTGTAATTGGGCCATACAGTACAGAGAGGCTCATTTCATTCCTGGATGACTTCGATGGGAGTCCAGGTGAGAAGAAAAATGCCAACATTTGTGATTATATGGGACAATGTGGCATTTAAACACTCCCATGCAGCCAAAGAGTGCTTCACAGTTTAGCACAGTCTATCTTAGAACAATGCATTTTTACCTCCCACTATATCCTCCTGAACCCTGTAGAGGAGCTTTGGTTCTCATGGAGGTGGAAAGTCTATGACCATCATCCATATGACCAAATGGCTCTCTTGCTGTGATGAATGCTGCTTGCTTCAAAAAAAAAAAAAAGAAAGAAAGCGAAAAGGTGTATTTTCTGAGAATACTCCTGAAATGCAGAGGACTTCTTTGATCAAAGGTTTGGTTTTCGACATTTTAACGGACACCTTTTTTTAGGTGTGTGCTGAAATGATGTATTGCTGGCCTACTCAATTCAAAATATTAAAATTAATGCATACTGAATTTCTCAACTTGTAATATGCAAGATATCCATGATGCACTGTATTAAAAAATCAGAGCATATGAGTTTTCTGACAGGCCTTGTTTAAACTCGGAGCCTTTGTAACTTCTGCCCCTCTCCACAATGGCAGCATAAAAACCGAGTAGAAGGTGCTGACTTATTCTGAATTTTTCTTAATTGTCTCAGGAAGTACAATGTTTGGTGTCTTTCTGATGAGGTGGTCTGTGATATGCACTGCAGGTATGAGTGCCTGGGGATTTGAACGAGTCTGTAATGGTAATTTGGTGTCCGTGGAGAAATATATTGGGAGTTTGGTGTCTTGTTATGTTCTTTTCTTGAATGTCTTCAACGCCATTCTGCTTTTCAGCAGATTCATGCAGGCAAATGACCTTTCCTGAATCACAGGCTGCCAACAGATGCTAAGCAGTATGTGAAGCCAGATGTGTCCAGTAATGGGGAAAGAAGACTGCAAAACACACAAGCACAAAAACTTTACATCAACTTAACACATGGTAAATCATGTTTCTTTTGAAAAAGTCATGCTTATTTCTCTGTGAAAAAGAGGTACACTTTAGCATACTTTTAATAAGATGACTTGTGCAAATAATTATGTAAATTATGTAAATAATATACTTTAGAAGAAAGTGCACATTGAATATAATGTTTTGACATTTGTATTTTATTTACAATTAAATAAAAATGTATAGTAGTTTAAATTTATATTAAATCTAGCATAGCGTTAGTTCTGGCAGGTCACGTTAGTCAAGCTCGCATCAGCTGACTCTCAGCTGATCCCCATCAACCTATGGGAATACGACACCTATCTAAGTATTCATATATAAGGTCCCGCAGTAGTATCAGCAGTTTTCACATTGCTCAATAGCTAATTAAATGGCGAATTCGGCAGGCAAAAGTTGGGAACATGCTTGTCCCAGAGCTATCTGGTTGTTATTGGCTGCTCTCATCCACGCTAGGCTGCATGGATGCGCTGGGAGTTCTTGCCCAGAACAGAACCATACCGCCAATCCAAACTGTATGCTAATTGTCAATCATCTTTGACGATAGTGGTCCTGACAGAAATGCAATTACCTGAACTTAAGAGGTTTTTTTGGCCTACTTAAGTATTACTTAAGTACATATTTACACATAATTTCCTAATTATTTCTATTGTCTTTGATGTATGGTTAAAGTTGTTGCCAAATGTCAAGTATTCATAGTTTTCCTTTCTCACATCTCTCTTATGTGGAGCACATTCTACAGCTAGGTACAGAACAATCACACAAATGTATGTAATTCATATAGTACTATAATGAAAAATGTTTTAACATACATAACAAAACAAAAAATATAAATTATATATAGCAATGAACACAAAAACTGCACTACATTTGTATATGCAACATCTTATTTAAACATTCAATTAATTACATTTGCATTTACATTTAGTCATTCAGCAGACGCTTTTATCCAAAGTGACTTACAAATGAGAACAATGGAAGCAATCAAAATCAACAAAAGAGCAATGTGCTATAACAAGTCTCAGTTAGCTTAATGCAGTACCCATAGCAAGTTGTTTCTAATCATATAATAAATAAAAAGAAAACAGATAGAATAGAAAAAGAATCGAGCAAGCCAGTGTTAGTTTTTTGTTTTTTTTTAAAGAAAACAAGCATTAGTAAATGAATAGAGTGCGAGTCTAAAAGGGGCAAGTTTTTTTAAGGAAAAAAGAATTGAAGAATAGAATTAGAATAGAAAGTGCTAGAGTTAGAGGGTCAAATAAAGATGGAAGAGATGTGTTTTAGCCAATTCTTGAAGATGGCTAAGGACTCAGCTGCTCGGATTGAGTTGGGCAGGTCATTCCTCCAGGAGGGAACATATATATGTTCATAATATTTTTGTGTACAGATATTGCACATACATGTTCCCATATAGATGTGAACTGTAAATATATCAATATAAACATTTATTTTTATCTACATACAGTTTATATTTTATTACATGTACATCTATATATTATGAATCATATTACTGAATATAAATATACATTATGATAGAACAGTAAAAGCATATTAATATACTATTCTGTATATTTTCAATATACATTAAATAATTAAATATACTGATTGTTAATATAAAAGGAAATATACTGTATTTTCTTTGTGTAAGGGATTGCTTTTATACCAATTTCTATATTCTGCACATGTGATAACACCATTCAGAACAACAAAAGCCTTACAGAACCTTGTAAGCTGGGCTTCAGGGAGCCCCTATAAAACGCAGTTGTGCTGTTCAAAAAATCCAGAGGCTTAAGTTTCCAAAAAGACTCTGTGCACTGGAGATGTTCTGAGATATCTGTAATGGCCAGCATGCTTTTGTACTTGGTGAGAGCGACATCGATTTCGATCTCTTGAACAAACCAGTCAGCGCAGAAGCAAGTATTCACTCGCGTTCACGCGAATGCCTGTTTGATTCCCCTGTGAAATGTTCCAGCTGACACTGATTGATTTTGTGGAGTGTTTAACAGGTGGTCATTTGGTCTGTGCGTGCCTGATTACACATGTGTGAGAATGGTGATTTCAAGGTGGGATGGGGGTCAGTGGTCCAGTGCTGCTCTAGAGGCCTCAACTCAGCCAGACCCTCGATGTTGAACAGCAAAACACCACAATGGCACAGACAACAGACGAGGCTGGTTAGGAGAAATCGATGGTCCAAAAAAAAAGGAAGACGGTGACGGGGGAGGAGAGAAATGAGAGGAGAATTTTAAAAGTGAGAGGCATCAACATGAGGTGAACGAGGAAAATAAAAAGATTTGAGGCCAGGAAGTCCAATTGATAAAGGAAAGGGGGTCCCACTTTATATTAAGTGGCCTTAACTACTATGTACTTACATCAACAGCTTACTAGCCAACAGGTTGATTAGCTTCATTTCGACCGCATGAAACTGCGTAGATCTCATTTATTCTTTCGTTTTGTTGTTTAGGTCATTATATATACAGCTACTGTAAAGCCACAGCAAGTTGTAAATACAGGACAGAAAGTAGTTAGCCAGCATGCTAACAACAACAACATGCTAAGTCAACAAACTCGTGTTGTTTTGATGTCTTTAGTGAGATTTCATGTGTGTGTATGAAATTAATACATGTGTTTGATAAAAACAGACAGGTGTCTGTGTGTTTTCTGCTCTAAGATAAATAGAGGATGGTAGCAGACTCAATCCAGAACTTTCCTCATGCAAGTAAACAGTGTATTAAACCATGAATGTGTTTTTTTTATGACCCTAGGCATTGAAAACCTGCCCTGTGAGCTCCAGAGAAACTTCACACTCATGCGGGAGCTGGACAACAGAGCCGAGGGTGAGATGACTCTCTAATCCTAGTGTGCTGTCTACCTAGGGAGCATTTCTGGGCATCATTGGAACATTAAATATGAATGACAAAAAAACACAACTCGGGTGGAATGGATGGATGTGTTTTTATGTGAATATGTGACGGTTTCTTCTTCTTCTTTCGCAGAAAAGAAATGTGAAATCGATAAGCTCGCAGAAGAATACATTAGAAACGTCCGGAACCTGGCTCCGGATCAGAGAGTGGAGCACCTGCAGAAGATCCAGAACGGATTCAGCAAATGCAAAGAATACAGCGACAACAAAGTGCAGCTCGCCATGCAGACGTACGAAATGGTCAGTAAGCCAGTTTAGATGAGAGTGACTTTTAAAACCAAACCTGGAAATATTATTTACCTTTACTTTACTTTTAGTCATTCAGCAGACGCTTTTATCCAAAGTGACTTACAAATGAGAACAATGGAAGCAATCAAAATCAACAAAAGAGCAATGTGCTATAACAAGTCTCAGTTAGCTTAATGCAGTACCCATAGCAAGTTGTTTCTAATCATATAATAAATAAAAAGAAAACAGATAGAATAGAAAAAGAATCGAGCAAGCCAGTGTTAGTTTTTTGTTTTTTTTTAAAGAAAACAAGCATTAGTAAATGAATAGAGTGCGAGTCTAAAAGGGGCAAGTTTTTTTAAGGAAAAAAGAATTGAAGAATAGAATTAGAATAGAAAGTGCTAGAGTTAGAGGGTCAAATAAAGATGGAAGAGATGTGTTTTAGCCAATTCTTGAAGATGGCTAAGGACTCAGCTGCTCGGATTGAGTTGGGCAGGTCATTCCTCCAGGAGGGAACATATATATGTTCATAATATTTTTGTGTACAGATATTGCACATACATGTTCCCATATAGATGTGAACTGTAAATATATCAATATAAACATTTATTTTTTATCTACATACAGTTTATATTTTATTACATGTACATCTATATATTATGAATCATATTACTGAATATAAATATACATTATGATAGAACAGTAAAAGCATATTAATATACTATTCTGTATATTTTCAATATACATTAAATAATTAAATATACTGATTGTTAATATAAAAGGAAATATACTGTATTTTCTTTGTGTAAGGGATTGCTTTTATACCAATTTCTATATTCTGCACATGTGATAACACCATTCAGAACAACAAAAGCCTTACAGAACCTTGTAAGCTGGGCTTCAGGGAGCCCCTATAAAACGCAGTTGTGCTGTTCAAAAAATCCAGAGGCTTAAGTTTCCAAAAAGACTCTGTGCACTGGAGATGTTCTGAGATATCTGTAATGGCCAGCATGCTTTTGTACTTGGTGAGAGCGACATCGATTTCGATCTCTTGAACAAACCAGTCAGCGCAGAAGCAAGTATTCACTCGCGTTCACGCGAATGCCTGTTTGATTCCCCTGTGAAATGTTCCAGCTGACACTGATTGATTTTGTGGAGTGTTTAACAGGTGGTCATTTGGTCTGTGCGTGCCTGATTACACATGTGTGAGAATGGTGATTTCAAGGTGGGATGGGGGTCAGTGGTCCAGTGCTGCTCTAGAGGCCTCAACTCAGCCAGACCCTCGATGTTGAACAGCAAAACACCACAATGGCACAGACAACAGACGAGGCTGGTTAGGAGAAATCGATGGTCCAAAAAAAAAGGAAGACGGTGACGGGGGAGGAGAGAAATGAGAGGAGAATTTTAAAAGTGAGAGGCATCAACATGAGGTGAACGAGGAAAATAAAAAGATTTGAGGCCAGGAAGTCCAATTGATAAAGGAAAGGGGGTCCCACTTTATATTAAGTGGCCTTAACTACTATGTACTTACATCAACAATTAAGTACAATGTACTTATTGTGTTCATATTGTATTGCAAAACACTTTTGCTGCTATTGAGGTGGGATATGAGTAAGGTTAGGGACAGGTTTGGTGGTATGGGTAGGTTTAAGGGTGGGTTAAGGTGTAAGGGATAGGTCAACAGTGTAATTATAAATGTAATTACAGAAATGAATTACAGGTGTAATTACATGCAGGTATTTTTAAAATATAAGTACAATGTAAAAACATGTATGTACACAATAAGTGCATTGTACCAAATTATTCATTTAAATGTTAGTACATAGTAGTTAAGGCCACTTAATATAAAGTGGGACCGGAAAGGGAATGTTTTTTTTTTTTTTTTCAACTACAAAAAAGTTTGCACTTAAAGATATGGTACTTTTGACCAATCTGTTGCCATCTTTTGACATCACACGACAAGGAACATGTTTTTATTTAATTATGACAAATACAAATCTTGAATGCAACTAAATCAACTGAATATGCCAGAAAATTAATATTCTGCCATGTACTTATGTAAAATCTGGCACAGCACACAGGAACATTGTTTTGAATTCATATTCTGTTTTTGTATTCTTAATCAAACTTAAGATTTCAATATCTGGTCCGCTACCAGATTTTGAAATCTGTAAGTAAGTAATCTGTAAGATGATTAACAATGAATACTGACTTAATTCTGTTTTTCGCACAATGCTGTAGCATGACTTTAGAAAATTATTTTTTAAGGTGCTTTTTAGGAATGCATGATATATCAGTACCATGTTAGTTATCAGCTGATATTATAGATTTTGACTTTGTTTTTGACGCATCATTGAAAAGTTTGGAGTCAGTAAAATTTGGATGCATTTAATTGATCAAAAAACATTTATAATGTTACAAGAGATTTCAAATAAATGCTGTTCTTATGAACTTTCTATTCATCAAAACAAAATCCATAAAAACTTTAAGCAGCAAAACTGTTTTCAGCATTGATAATAATAATATATGTTTGTAAAGCACCAAATCAGGATATTAGAATAATTCCTGAATGATTTGTTTACTATTTTTTAAATGGTACTAATATTTCCTAGTGTTTTGACTGTATTTTGATACAAATAAATGCTGCCTTAGTGAGCATAAAAGACAACCACAAACTTTTGAACAGTTAGATTTAATTGTAATTTTAATTAAAATAAAAAAAAAATTTTTTTTATTTTATTTATTTTATTTTATTTTTGGTGCATTTCTAGAGCTTTTTAAACCTAAAATCAATATTGTGTCATATATTATTCTATTGGCAACTTTAAAATCTGTGCATCCCTAGAGCTTTTATGTAGTGTTTTGTTCTTTGGTCCTTTTAGTCACTATGAACTGCTACTGTATGAAAAAGCTACAGCAAGGTTCTTCAAATTCTCTCCTTTTTGTTCCACAAAAAAAAATAAAAATAATAATAATAATAATAATAATAGCAGGTATTAAATGATATGATGGTGAAAAGTAGACTGCAGACTGACTTTGTTCGGTTTGATTTGTGCTGGCAAGTCAGACAGCACACTCACTGCCTGCTCACGGACCATTCACTGAGCATCTGATGCTTATTACACACAAAACTAGAAGCACTTTCTCAATCTGGCAGCTCTAATCTGATTGGCTGACTTTACGCACGTTACGGGAGTCATTGCGCACCGGCTGTTCCATCATCTGAGTCTATTCCATGTTGTTCTATTATTGTGATATTAAGTATTTCAGATTTACTCCCCCTGATGGCACATAAAAATTAAATGAACATTTGGTTCCCCTATTGTAAGTCACATTGGATAAAATAATCTGCTAAATTCATAAAAGTAGATGCAAATGTAAATGGTCACTTTAGCAGTCAGACAGGTGGCTGCTTCCAGTCTAAGTGGGCGGTTCTTAAGATACAATCACAATTACACAATGACAAGCACAATTACCATTGTTCGGCAAATTTTCAGGGATGAAATTCGATAGGAATCCATGCAACCTGGATTTTTTTGTGTGTGAGTAAAAGATTTACCCACATAGACTTTGCAAAGCTTCAAGTTGTACTTGCATGCAGGTTGCAGCACTGACCAGCAGAAGGTTGCTATGTTTAAAAGTGATAGCTTAGAAACAAGTTATCTTATTAGCACTACCGGTTCCAACATCCTGAAGTCAGTTGGCCTTTGAATGGGTTTTTGGTTAAATACCTGAAATACAGTAAGGTCTATCATAGACGGGGGAACATATTTTATCCGGGGGGTGCAGGGGGTGGGGCTTGATGTTGCAGGGCAGGACAACTGTGGGGGATTTTAGACAAAATCCGAATATTAAACAGCCCAAACACTTACATACTGTAGATGAACATACAAATGAATGAAGACAGAGTTATATGAGAACCAATATATATTTGTGCTTTTGTGATTTTAGTTCAAGAAATTTTTCTTTAATATTTTACTAAATATTAACATCACTGAAATGCTGGAGTTGTGGTCAGTGAGAGCGCTCACGTGGTACTTGCCTAAAATTTCATGATGTGCGTAGTTAATAGATTACATTAGACTACCGTGGTTTGAGCGCGTTTAACTATATGCACAATTAAAGAGCTGTGCATGTGATTGTCGGTGGCCGTCTTGAGAAGCGTGAAAGCTTCGGAATACGGCTCATAAAAAGGACAAGGATGTGAATGCTTTTTACAAGTCAGAATCTAAAATGATGGTAATATCGCATGAACATTTCACATGAACATGATCTTAAGTCTTTAAGTGCGAGGCACGCAAAACAAATATACAACCACACTATATTTATGGTCATTTTAATATGCAATTAATCACAAAACTATCAGAAAAATTAAGTATCCTGGGGATGATCGAGGGGCACAAGGAAAGTGTGGAGGGCATTTAGACCCGGCCCTGCGGTGTGAAATGAAAGGTCCAACATTTAAAGTTTAGCTTAACTGTCAAAAAGAAAGTCTGCAAGCTTGTCTTATCAACTGAAACCCAAACATTCCATCACATTCCTTCATCTTGTAAAAACACTGCCAGTGTTTACCCTTGTTTTACCCTGTTGTCTGTTTCTGTGTATTAAGGCAAGTCTTTGAGTTGAGTTGGCTTGCACTTCTGTAACGGAATCTGAATTTCTTTTTCCACACCGGTTAAACACCCTCTGGCTCAGCTCTATAGTAGCCTCACACCAAACTCTCGCTACTGGACGGAATGGAATGTACAGAATGTATTGATTTTATGTTAAGAGACCGCTTTAATTATTGATTGCTGTCTGGCTGTAAAGACACATTCAACTAGTAGCTACAACAACAAAAAACTGTGTAAAATATTGCCTACCATAGCTTTAACAAAAGGTCAAGATATTTTCACAGTTTATTCTGTCAAGAAAAAAAAACATGCAAAAATTGTACCTTTAGGGGTACAACAGCTTGTCACTTTGTACCTTCTTTACACCTAAATTGTAAAGTTAATCTCAGAGGGTACTGCCCCAGTGGCAAGCTATTG